TGGTCATGTATTTGAAGGCTTCTTGTTTCATACGGGTTAATGAGAACAATGGTTTGAAAAGTTACGTTCAGCTACAAATAATATGAGGTATTTAAGAAAAATATATATTTAATACTTTAATTTTCAAGATATTGTTGAATGGGACTATTTTTGGGAATAGTATAATTTTAACGAATACTTGTTATACTTTATATGAAGATACAATTGCATTCTTTAAAAGAATATGCTGAAGTGTGTTAGAAATTTCTCATGCATTTCCTAGAATACATATAACAAGAATTTTACAATTGAAATATTAACATTATCAAATGTATAAAATACGAATTAAATACATAGGAATCTAAACGAAAAAGAACATTTCCAAATGGTATTCACATAAATACATTACGATCGTTTCAAACTGCTTCATCGTATTGAGGGTCGCATAAAGCAGAAATGTTTCGCTTCCAATCTTCAGTTCATTCACAAAACTGTCTCCACCGGAGAATCTAAAGAACATTCCACGTTGAGCCTCTTCTTCTTGTACGCAATAATGACAAAGTAGAATAACTCCATCATCGACAATTAATTAATGCCTGCGTGGGGAGCTGACCGTGCACCCGGACGGCCGGCGGCTACTGGAACGCCGCCGGGCCGGAATGAAGAAGCGCCGGTAAAAAATAAAAAATAAATGACGATCTCTCGTGACCGGAGCACGCACTCCGCCACCGGAAGCAGAGCGAGCGGGAGCGGAGCAAGATGGCGCCGGCCGCCACGCAACGGCTCTTAATTAACTCTGTCGCCCCCTACCTGCGCGACATTCTGTGGAAATGATTTACGTTTCTCGTTTCATTCGGCAGCCAAAGACGCACCTCCGCCTCCTTAAATTCACAACGGAACGAATCAGTCTTTCGGCGACTGGAAGCTCCCTGCATTCGGACGCGAGAGTCAGAATAGAAACTTTGACCGGTTCGTTTCTGAATCGTTCCTGTCGTCTTTGTGAATCGTCGACAGAAGACATTGTGAGCGTATAGCGAAGGCGGAGAGAGACGAAAATGTGGGCGTTAATTGGAGGTATTTTTTTCTGTTGGGTCCCGCAAGTCGAGATTTAGAGGAACAGCTGGCGTGATGGCTAGGAGGTTGGTCGGTCTCCCAGCAGCTGCCGGGGTGGCGGCAGGCAAAAGACGCCAGGTACACGGCAGTTCCCTACACTCCCAAACCCCTGCAATTTTCTGTTGCTTTTTAACTGCATTATTCCATGAAGTTGTAGAGCATTAAGAGTCGCCTAACTAAATTATGAGTACTTATTTCCGCTTATATTGTCCTAAATGTTATAATATGTGCCTAAAACTCTGTTTTGGAAAGAAAGCCGAAAATGTTGGAAGTAAAAAGTATTAAAACAGTATGACCGCAAATAATTTCGCAATGGAAACCTCAAGTAATAGGCCAGAAAGAGATTCTAACCGTGCCTTGTCGCTTATTTACCAGTGGTTGACAGAGCACGACGCTACTTGTTCTGTCGCAGTCGATGAAGCACATCACCGGTGGTTCGAGAACAATGAACTGTGGAAGAATGTAGAATTTCACAATGACAGTCACATTCATTACATGTCAAGCGAAGTTAATAAAAGATACATATGCATTCTTAGAAAAAATTAGATAATTCCACGTTTTCATACAAGTAATGTCAAATTAGTTCAGGTGTACAATTAGAAAAATTATAAATAATAAGACATCCATCATTTTCTTATTCGGTGTGTTTCATTCGATATTTATTTTGTAATAAATGACATTTGATTAAGAAATAGTTCTAGGTAACAAATGTGTTAATGAAACGAGTGAAGTATGGTATTAGCACACGCTTTTCGTAGGAATACATACGTAGGATAATTTGTACGATCCCTGAAAACGATTCCACAAAAAGGAACAAGATACATTAAATGCATTTTTTCTACCCGCCTATTTACAACTAAATAAATAAACTAACTGAGGTTAGTATATTTCAAACTTATGAAATTTCAGAACGAAATGCCGCTACGCTGTAGATGTTATGCACTTAACAGTTGGATAGTCCATAAAATTAATATAAATGTTATACGATCATACGAATAGTGAAGTAGCAGAATAAAGAGTAGACTTGGAAAGTAATAAAAAGAGCGTAATATGATTTATAAAGATAAAATTTATGAAGAAACAAAACTATTTACATGCAGCTCAGAATTTTGAAAAATATTAGGAATTATGTTCCAAAGCAGAAATAAATACATAGATTCAGTTTATCTGTATGTAAATAAAATTTGTTTAGATATGTGTTATTTTCATATTAAACGTCAATAATAATTATGACTACGTACATTAAACACAGATGTCTAAAAGATGGTATGATTTCGAATGACTATAAAGGTAGATTCATAAGTAAGTCGTGGTTTGAGTTTTTGATTTTGCAAAAATATTAAATCATCAGTTATCTGCATTGACATTAATACATTTGTGATAACAATAAATATTAAATGTATTACTGACACTAAAGCCGTACATTTTTGATCAAGGTGTTAAGTGGTAAATAGTAATGTCTAACACTGTGTGCGTAAAATGCTCACTTCTTGTTTTCACACCATGGAGTAAAGTTGGATTTTACACCGAGTCTTCGGAATTTTAATCTGCAATTAGCAGCGGCGATATTTATTAATATTTGCTGATTTGTAATGGAAGAATCGTCCGAACTCTAAAAGAGCTTTATATTTTTTTTTCCTTTTTATGGCTTTTTCCAGCCGAAAGCCAGCCGAAACCATACCCTAGACGTCAACACACACTGATCTGGGGTCATCAGAACGCGACAACACATACAGGAGAGGAAAGGGTCAAACAGCCACGCCCTAGGCGGGACTCGAAACTGCGCCCTTTCGGGCCGAAGCCCTGAGTCGGAACTCGCTTCTAGCCACCTCGGCCATCCAGGCCGGCAAGAGCTTCACCGGGCACACGAACGGACGCCCTGCAGGGCAGAGGGTGCGCGCGTGGGCGTGGCGCGGGGCGACCGCTCGCCGTGGCGTGGGAAGTCGCCCCAGACGCGCCCGCAATCCGGGCGGCTGAAAAATTCACGCGGCGGCCGTAATGAAGAAGGAGTCGGCGCGACCCCCGACCCGGCAGCGCCCGCG